TGCCGCCTGCTGGCAGTACCGCGTGCGCCCCGGGCCGGGAGGGGCGTGGGGGCTGGGCAGCCAGGCAGAGGGCGGGCAGGAAGAGCAATCGGGCCCGAATCTCCCGCGTGGGGGTTCACTTTCCCGGGTCTCCAGCCTGCTCTCCCCGCCACCCCGCACTGCCTTTCCGAGCTGTAGGCTAGAAGGGGTGGCGGAAAGGGAGCTATGTGCGGGGTGGGGCGCCCAGACGTCGGCGCCGAAGGCCGAGTTTTAAAGGTCCCACCTCGATCCTGCCCGCGAAAGGCTCTCTCCTAACATAAGGCGTGGCCGCCGACACCACCCACGATCCAAAGTCCCCACTGAGCCCCGCCACCAACCCGGCCCTCCTCCTCTACCCGGTAAGGGTCTTCCAAGCCCAGGGAGCGGGTCTAGAAGCAGCTCCAGAGGCGAGGAAGGTTTGCCTGGCCGCGGCAAGAGGAGCCCATTGATTGCAATCACACCCCTGCGGGGCGGCCCAGCCCGTGGGAATCCTCTCAGAAACTCTCTCTGTACGCGAGTTTAAAGCTCCCGGCGAATCGCTGAAGCTCTGGGCGTTCTCTGCCCCGCCTGGCCGCCGGCTGGGCCCTGGGACCAGGAGAGAGAGACAAAAGGAAGAGGGAAAGAAGGGAGGGAGAAAATGTGGGTCTTATTTGTCTCCCGATGACTGTATTAATAAATTAAATGGGAGCGCCAGAGTGTTAGGATGAGAGAATATTGCGCGGAGATAAACCTCGCCGGCCCCTGCCCCTGCGAGGCTGCCATATACAATGCGGAGATGATGAATAGGAGCCGCGAGAGAAGATCGAAGCGGGTCTGGGCTGGCTCCACTCTCTCCTACAAAACTATAGGGCAATTAATTGTGGCTTGTCCCCTCATCCTTCATCTCCTGGTGGCACATATCGATGGAGATTACTGCTGATGGACCATTTTATCACCTTAAATAAACAGTCGCCACCTCTTCTAACCTCAATCTAATATATGGCTCTATGTTCCGTTTCAGGGCGCTAGATAACGAAAGATGTAAAATAGCTAAATCATGTGTGTTACGGGAGGAGGCTTGACCTGCACACACACACACACACACACACACACGAGAGAGAGAGAGAGAGAGAGAGAGAGAGAGAGAGAGAGAGAGAGAGAGAGAGAGAAACACAGAAGCCCACGCGCTGAAGCCAAATCTCCCACCCAGCCAGACCAGGTCTGAAATCTAAGGCGCTCGCTGATCTTTCACCGTGGAGGCGCAGGGCGGAAGGGGCGCAGCGGGCGTTCCTCCGAGGCAAGAAAAGCCTGCTGATGCACCATTGGGCTCGAGGTTGCCAAACAAGACCCGTATTTTCCACCTGGGTGGGAAGGGATTAGGGAAGGTCAGAAAACACTCGCCCTCCTTTATCTCTTTCCTTGACTCCTTAGCAGGCAACCCGACAGACGAGTGTTAGGCCCAGACTTCTTTTTCTCTCCCCAGCCCCTCTCCCTAAACCCAAAGCGTGGCGTTACCGAAAAGGGAGCTCCCAGCCCCGCTCCCACACTTTTCTCCCAACGGCGCTGTTCCTGGCACTGTTCCCTGCGCTGGAGGGCTCCAGTAAATCGCGAGGGGACAGACACCCCTTCCGCAACTGGGGAAGTTGCTAAGTGGTCCAACTCTCCGCCGAGACACCTAAAGTGGCTCAGTTCCCGCCTCCCTCCCAGGTCCTAAAGAGGCACATCTTCACAAAAAGGTATGAAAAACTAATTGGCTCTCCTAAGAGAACATCCGGGATGCTCCGCAGAAACGCCAGGTGCGCCCGGTGACTGTCTTTCTCTACTTTCCAAGAGTAAGTGACAAGGTCTCAGGCAACGCACCCGCTCCCAGAACCCGGGAAGAGGCCACTCTGATGGAGCCTGACTAAATCAAAGGCCTCAGACAGCCCAGCAGCAAATGAGGGCAGTAATACTAGCGCGGGAAGGAAGGGCCCCATCCGCCATTTATATAGCAGGAGGCACCACTTGACTTTTAAGAAAAGAAAGCAACAGCATCAGTAGCAAAGCATTCAGGGCTTCGGTCAAAAGTGTACTTCAGTCACAGGGTAAATTGATACGGAGTTGGTAATATACTGGAAAGCTCACCCGGGCTAGCTGGTAGTTTCTGCTGCTTTAAAATCTTTTGGAAAGGAGAGCTACAAGCCCCTTCACTGTGACATTTCCCATAGAGGCCAATAAAGTTTCAAGGTGAATACTAGTGTTCCTAAGTTCTTTTCTTACAGAGAAATGATATATATTACTGATCTTAGGCAAAAAGTTACTCTACTAAGGGGAAGGGACAAGGAGCCACCCCCCCCCCGTTTTTATTTAGCCTTGTAAGAAAAAGAGAAAACAACTCAATGCCTATCTTTTAAAGTACAAACTGACAAAATGAAGCAATGCTAAGTGGTCACTTCACAGAATTCATTTGGAGGGAGATGGCAAAAAAAAAAAAAAAAAAAAAAAAAAAAAAAAAAAAAAAAAAAAAAAAAAAAAAAAAAAAAAAAAAACCTAAAAGAACAACTAGGGAAATCTATACATGATAAATTAATAGGAGCTTCCCTCTGCCTCCACCCTTCCTCTCACTCCACCCCCACTCACTTACAACTCGGGAATAAGGAGAAGCTTCTGTTTTTCACAGTCTTTCAATAACCATTATGCCAACTTCCCCTGCCAAGGGAAATGAGTTTCCCAGCGTTTGCATTTCTGACTTGTTTTAAGCTCCTACTTAGATTAGACTCAATCACAGTTCATCTTTGTAAAAGTACATCCCATGGCTTCAAATGAGTGCCTAAGCTTACTTTTCCACACAAGTTCCTGGAGGAATGAGAGATCTGGTCTCCCAGCATTACACAGGGCTATCTCAGCTTTTTATTTTCTTTCTCGATTGCCCTTTAGTGAGCATCGTGGGGTGTAACTCTAATAGGACAATCTAAGTCTCTTTTCCTTCTATCTTTTCCCCTGCACTTCACACACTGAAACAATCCAGTTGGCTCAAAAGGAGATACCAGAAGATTAACACAATATAAATCATTTAAATAAAATTGCAATTTATTTTCTCCAACCAGAGAAAAAAGTTACCTAGGCAATAAGCTAGTTCAATACCCATTAGGAATCTATCCTAATTCTTTCTCTGATTAGTCTTAAGTTTTCTCTGGTGAAAATGTATTAAATCGCCCGACTGCACTGTAAACAGTACAGGGAACTCAGCACACAGCCAGGGTTTTGGGGTGTGCTCCTAGTAACTTCTCTAGCATATACTTAATTCAGAAGAGAAACTGTAAGATAGATGAAGCATTCTCAGTCTGCAATGGCTATATTTCACTTAGCAGTAAGACGTTATCTTTTCCAAGGCAGTTTAAAAATCTTATTTCACAATTTAAAATAATTGCTTCTAAAACGCACATTCGAGAAATTCAGTAGGCGATAAGTATTTTTTAAAATCTATTGGGAGAGTATATTTTGTAAAACTTTCTGAAACTCTGAAATACAAGTCTTCTCAACTGCACAGCAAAATTAGAGTTGAAACCACTATTTTAAGCCAGTGCTTTGTCTTCAAACTTTATAAACAAAAAAGGAAACAAGATTGCTCTTTTTGTTGGTAATTATTATCTCCATCACAACTATGTCCAACATAATGAAAATATTCATAGGCCTCAATCACGAGGCTGATGCCCAGTGGATTTTTTCATCAAAGCAACGACTTTGGAATCCTTTAAAAACCCATAACTGGACTTATTTTGCTTTTACAACGAATTAAGAAGTTCACAGAGTGGTAGACATTTTGCAAGAAGCAATTTATTTAAAATTGAATAAAAATAAACGTTTTAAATTGACTTTACTCATACAGAAGCCAGATGAATGAATGAAATGAAGAAAATATTGGAATGAATGCTGATCTTTCAAATCCTGTATTGCTTTCAATCTGACGCTCTTAACATACTTTAACGTTATCTCCAGAAGTCTCTGGGAGCACGTTTAACACCCCCAACTCAGTATAGGTGTAAACACAGTAAAACTTCTGAAATTACCAAAAAGAAGCAGATATAAAGCAGTACATATTGCTTGATCATCATTTAGAGTTTTGCTTCAAAACCACCAAATGGAATCGTACTTGTGATAAGCGTTTCAAATTGTGAATATAGGAACTGAAGCTACAGGAATCTTGACGTTTAGTTTGGCATTTCCTATTAACTTGGAGAAAACGTCTTTTACTAAATTATAATCGCCTTAATTTCTAAAATAATAAATAAACCAACTTGGGTTATGAACGTTTGCGGGGTCAAAGGTGCGCGAATAAAGCGGGATCAGCGGACTCCGCGGGGAACAGAAATTTTCTTCTCAGTAAGTAGCAGGCTTATTTTTTCTTTTCCTTCTTTTTAAATGAAGAGTAGATCTAAGAATACTACCTGCCTTCAAGGAGAAACGACTCCGTACCACCCAAAATTCCTACTCGAGCGAGGCCTGGCCAGCGAACAGCTCGCGACCGGTTTCCCCCGCAACCCCGCGGCCAGAAAATGACCTGACCTCTATAGATGGGGTGGAGAGCAGTAGAAACAAGCCTTGGTCTGCGTGCTCCCCAGAAACGCTGAGGGTCCCTCCCTTGTCCCGGCTAAGACCAGGCAGAGCCGGTCCCAGACACCCCCTGGCACGCGCTGCCAGTACCCGCCTGGCCCCCGGCACTGTCCGGCGGGAGGGCAGAGGTCTGTAAGGTCGGGTCCACGGGTGACTCTGGCACCAAACACTTGCGACGGTGAAGCAGGTGAGGGGAGGGAGGGAGGAAGGGAGGGAGGGAGAGGGAACCCCAAAGTGCCACCGGCCGACTCAACCGTTCTCTTTTCCTTCTCCCACGCCAGAAAACTTTTGTCACAGAGATCCGGGAGGAGCGGGCCGGCGGCCGGGACCAGCTGCTCCCCCCGCCCACGTGTCACTCTTACCCGACCCGCCTGACTGGCTCCCGGGCCCACCCGCGCCAGCGCCCCGAGAGAGAGCGCGCGGGCTGGGGCTACGTACGGTTGTTGGGGTCGCTGGTGTGCTGATTGAGCGGGATGATCTCCATGCGCTGCTGGCCATACAGGTAATAGTCCAGCTCCTCTGCGCTGCAGCGGAAGCGCTGGGCGCCTCGGCCATCCCCGCCGCCGCCGCCGCCGCACTTGGCGGGCCCCGGGCCGGAGGCGGCGCCGAGGCACAGTTCCTTGGGGGGCAGCGGCTCGGCGGCGACGGCGGCGGCGGCTAAAGGCGCGAACACCGGCAGCTGCGACACCGGCAGGGCCGAGAGACCCGCCAGCGCGGCGGCAGCGGCGGCAGCAGCGCAGGAGGAGGCAGAGGAGGCGGAGGTGGAGGATGAAGCCGGAGTGGACGAGGCGGAGGAGAGAGAGGCGGGCCGCGGGCGCAGGCTGTCCGGCGGAGGCTCCGCGCGTTCTGGGGGCGGCGGGGGCGGCGGCGGCGGCTGAAGAGGCTGCGGCGCGTTCAGGGGACCTGCGGCGCCGCTGCCCTTGAGCGGGCCGGCGCCGCCGTGCGGGAAGAGTTGCTGCCAGTGCTGCAGGTAGGCTGGGTCCAGTTTGAGGAAGGCCGAGCCGCCGGGGTCTCCGGGCTTCAGCATTTCCGACGCCTCGAACTGGGGACAGAGGGCAGGGAAGAGGGGGCGCGTGAGCCAGACCCAGGGCCTGGGCGACCGGGGCGGGGAAGAGGGCCTCTGGGACCCTGGAGAAAGCACCGGAGCCGGTGGCTCATTCGGCGGCTGCCGGGTTCCGCGGCTCCCTCTTCCCAACTCCGCTGGGGCGCAAAGTTTACTCCGACGCTGCGGCGCCGCACAGAGGGAGTTGTGGGCACCCTGCTCTGCCTCCCTGCCCGCAGCGTCCAGCTCCCATCCAGCAATGCTGGGGCCCGACGGGAGGGCGCTGCCAGCAGAGCTCGGCTGCAGGACGCAACCCCCGCCCTCAGCCAGCGCCCGGAGCCGATCCGAGCCGGGTGGCGAAGTGCCCGAGCCGCGTTTGCCTCAGGCGCCAGGAGGCGGGACAGTCTCGCCCCCCGCCCCCCACCTAGGACCACCAACCTTCCTATCCGTCGAGCCCTGGACTCTTAAGTCCCAGACGAGCCTCACCTTACCTGAAAACTCGGCGCTGCGGGTGGGTGCGTGCGTGTGTCTCGGTGAGCGTGCGGGTGCGGGAGAATGTGCGCCCTGTGTGCACTACATGCCCTTGGGCAACGCGGGAGGAGAATCCTAGAGATCGTGCCGCCCGGAACCCGCCCGACCTGCGAGCGAGGGAATTGGAAGCCCGCGGAGGGCGCGAGAGCGCAGGCGGACCTGGCCGCCGGACTGGGCCGCCGGGGGCTGCTGCGCTTGGCCGCTACCTCGTCCTAGCTCCCTGGCTCCACGCTCTGGCAGCCTCCCGGCTGGACACGTGGGTTTTACGACAGCACAAAATACAAGTGTGTGTGTGTGTGTGTGTGAGTGTGTGACAGAGAAAGAGAGGGGGAGAGAGAGAGAGAGAGAGAGAGAGAGAGAGAGAGAGAGAGAGAAAGAAATGGGGAATGGAGGGGGGAGGGGAGGCAGGCCAGAAGAAGGGGAGGGGAGAGGGAAGAAGGAAGTTCTAACGGCCGGACCCACACCGCCAGTGCGCCTTTTCCGCACAAACTCCTCGGCCCTCCCATCCCCTGTTTTTTTGGCATGACCTCTCCCGCTAGCCTGTTGTCTCTTTCTGTCCATGATATGTCTTTTTTGCGTGCCAGCTCAGTGCCCGCATCTTGAAATCAGTGGAAACGCGGCAACCGAATGTATCTCCGCACACGCTGTAGTGTCCACGCTTGAGCAAGCCCGCGCCGCCGGTCCGGGTTTGCCCGGCTCAGTTTTTCCTGGAGTGCTTCTGGGTGCTAGAGTCCACTCGCTCGCCACTCCAGCTCTATCATAAATCCTCTGGGGAGAAAAGTTGGGGGCGGAGCGGGACGGGTTGCGCGCTGGAGTGAAACCCTCTGTCTGCAGCCCTGGAGGCAGGCTGGTCGGTGCAGGGAGTCGTGGGACCGAGGGTCTCTAAGAGCAGCTGGTCCTGGCGGGTTTGGCTGCAGGGCTGGGAGGCGGCTGCAATGGAGTCTGCACACCATCCAGCGCTCGGCCAACCCGCTCCCGGGTTGTCTTCTGGAAGGCTCTTTCCCATTCCTCGTTGGGGACTTGAGGCAAGTATCCAGTGCTACGTCTGGTGGCACAACTGCTCCGGGACACGGACGATGTTGTTTGCAGTTAGCTTCCTGCGGCTGCCCCAGGTCACGCTTAGGTTTCTCTACCCAAAACATGGCGTTAGAGGTGCAGCCCCACCCCACCATGCCATCTCCCCAGACTTTGGGCCAGGGCAGCCCTTAGATGCAGTCTGGCAGCCACGAATTAGCCATTTCCTTCCCCCTGCCCCCCCTCCCAGCTCTTCCTGGCATTTTCAATAGTAGGTGGTAGAAGGTGCAGGCAAGGTGTATGAAATTGACCGATTCAGGAGATACTTTCCCATGGCTAGGGTTCTGGCCGTAGCTCAAAGAGAAGAAACGGCATTTATCCTTCTCCAGACAACCTAACTTATTTAGCACTTGCCAGTCTGGACAATTAATAGCCATTCTTTCCTGATTTCTGCTTGTTTCTTTTTCTCTTCCCACCACTCAAGTTGTCTGAGCCTGGGAAACGTGCTGTTTAGCCTTCGTCCGGGTCTCATGCAGGATGCTTCGATGTTGGTTGGAACAGAGTTGGACCGAAAATGTTTTGACTGGCGTCGTTATGACAAGGTCATCCGTCATCGTTGGATAGATTGATAGCACCCAAGTTTAAGGCAGAGACCACGAGGGAAAACCCACGGCACTGTGGACCCGGAGGCTAACCAGGCAGTCTCCGCAGATTTCCAGCAACTCCATAGGGAGGAGAGGATGAAGTTCCAGGCCCGTTTCAATTAATCTGCTGGTAGAACTGGCGAAGAGAGGCTTGTCGGGCCGCGGGAGAAGAAACAAATCCTTTTTCTCACTCTCTCCAGGTTCACTGCTGAGAAACCAGGACACTCCTCTGTTCCCTGGGAGAGACAGTGAGCTCCAGGGATGGAAGTCCAGACTTTGCAGCAGCGGTCTTCCCATCTGCCTTCTTGTTTCTGCCCAAATCCAGCTACTTTCAAGCGCTTGGTCCCCAGGACTGGAAGTCCCAAAGAACCTCTACCTGCCCCGACCCGCCTCCCCCATACCCCTTCACCCCCTGCCACCATTAGAAAGTCTTGGGATTTTGAAATGCTAGTTGCAGCAGCTGCTTCGGTGGCCACAGGCCGCCCACACTCTGAGAAGCGGAAGAGGGAGGGTTCCTCTCGTAATGAGATTAGCTGACCTGTTAATGAGAGCTTTGGACGTGCTGGGCGCGGGTGGGTGCTTTACGTCCATTTAATCCATCTAGCAACCATGCGGAGAAGGCATCAGTAACCCCCATATTGTAGGTGGGGACTGCTGAAGTTCGGACAGGTTAGATGGGTTGCCTAAAGTCACGCCAATAATGAATAATGTATTCGGATTCAAACACTGTTCGGTGAGGTGCCAAGTGCGTCTCCCCCCCACCCTAGTCAAACCTGTAGTCAATCGGTCCAGACTGACGCCAGAGGGGGTTGAGGGAGCACCCACGGGAGAGATATGGCTCCCCTTGCTGCAGGAGCCAGGGAAGAAGCTGAGAAGGTAGCGAAGTCCCCCTCGCCCACTACGTCTACGGATGGTGTACCTGGGTTTTCTGATTCAAGCGTCCGCCCCACTCACCCCCGGCACAGGTCGATCAGGAGGCGACAGGACCCTAGGGCCCAGAGGGTACAGGGACCTCGCGTGAAGGGGGCAGGAGAAAGTTTGAGGGACCGCCCTGAAGGCCCGGGAGCGAACGAAAAGGTCTGGAAGGGAATGGACCAGGAGCCTGCCCTGCGCCTCTCCAACAGGCCAGTGGCACCGGGTGGTTGAGGCGGAGTCCGCGGAGTCCTCCCCCCGGTGCCCAAGCGGGGTGGGCTGCGGATAGGCGGGACCCCCGGGGCTGCGTGCACTCCGAGGGGCGCTCCCCCACACACAGTTGACCCTGGGCCCGCTTGGTCACGGCCACCCTGGCGCGTCTCAGTAGTTTTTAGAAAGTGAGCGTGCACGGACCAGCACCCCCTCAAATCCGCTCCCCCCACCCCCTTCAATTTAGAAGACCAGGGAAACAAATCACTTCGACCACTTAGAAAGCGATCAGATCTTTATAAAAATCCATTGCTCCCAAATCGATGGGTGAATATTTGCTGGGAATTTGTTCCAGAGGAATAAATAAGGAGGCTGAATGTATTAAATGCAAACGGGGGGACACGCTGGTGTTTTTCTTCATTGATTAATGACCTCTAAAATAAAACAAGTGGAAAGAGGAGCCAGGATCGATAAATTAACTACCCAAATTCATCATTTTCTCGAGCATTTTTGCCCCGAAAATTATCCTTGGGAAGCCCATTGTACCCTAAGCTGGGAGGGGAAAGATGGAGCTGAAGGCCAGGGTAGGGAGGGAGTAGCAGAAGGGGCAGGAGAAGGGGGTTCTGTCCGGGAGACCCTCTATCTGATTTCGTTTGACATACATTCAAAAGTTTGCTTTTCATATTAATTATTTTTTCTTGATGGGGGAGTGGAACAAATGGTCGGTTGCCTTTGACAGGACTCCAATAAAGGATTCGGCAGCTCTCCGCTCTGCCCTGGGTGCTCGCGCTTCTAGGTTTAAGGTCATGGTGGCTGAGTTAATAATTCATTAATATAGACATTTATTCAGAAAGGTTCGCTGAGATTCACTCTTCCTGCCTCCTCCCAGAGATTTATTTTCCTAGGAAATGGATGGGGGCGGAGAGTGGGCTGCAGGTGAAAGGAGGGGGGGAGGCGGGAGGAGGAAAAGAAAAATGGAGAGAGAAAGACTGAATACAGCTAGGAGGAATCTTTGCTAAGCCATATGAGCAGACAGGTCCTTGAGCCTGCCAGCAAAAACTTGGTTGAAAATGTGGTATCCAAAAAGGACAAAGACTCTGGCCTGCAGTCGCCCTTTCTCCTTCCATAGGTGACTCTTTCTCCTTCCATACCTGTTCATTCACTTGTTTAGAAAGCTCCTTTCCTCCAGGATTTGGGACCAGGGAAGAGCCATCTCACTGAGGATCTTGGATTGCAGGCAAAAGGGGAAAGCTCTGAGAAAAAAACAGTACCCCACCCCCATCCCTATGAGATTCCCAAGGGAGGAGCTTTGAAACTTGCCCAGACCTGGAATCTAAGGGAACCTCTTCTCCCAAGGGCACAGGCAACTTCTGGAGGACACTCTACCCCTCAGAAATGGGATGATGGAGAAGGGGGTTGGAGGCAGAGACTGAAAGTAAATAGTAAATAATAAATGAGTAATGGCCAGATGGTAATAATCGCTATGCAAAGCAATAAAGGATAAGAGGAAAAGGGAGTGCACATAGGTGGAAGGGGTTACTGTTTTACTTGTAGTGGCCAGGAAAAGCTTCTCTTAAAGATGAAATTTAATTAGAGACTTGAAGCAAGAAGATGCCAGTTTTCTGTCGAGTGGGATATTCCCTGCCCTAACCTGTAGCCAGTGGCTAAAGCAGTAAAAGAGGCCTCTCCTGAAGAACTATCAAGTATTTGCCTCCTCATTACTGGCCACACTTGCTTCCCTTAAGGTTCTATGAACTACTCGATATACTTTCAATACCTTCATTGAGTGTTCTCATCAATTGGAGTCACCTAACTTGCTGGTGACTTAGACCCTGACACAGTGACCGACCTCCAACTAGCTGGACCTCAATTTCTTCAACAGTCAAAACAAGAGGTAGGACTAATGCAGTGTTCTGTCCTAAGCTTTTATGAAACAGCTACTGAATTCTGACCCCCCCACACTCTATTACACATTTTATACCCCACTCCTGCATGCTGTGAGTCTAAGATGCACAGGGTGTAAAATGTATTGCAAAACTGAAAACTAGAAAACCCTCACCATGTATTTTGATCACTGCCATCTGCCCACTGATCCCTTTGCATCTTCACTTGTTCTTCCTTACATAGAGACAGAAGACAGTGCCAGCCACCGTCGGAAAGAAAGGGTGCAAGGACTGAGGCAGAAGAGGTAGAAGACAGTGAAATGCTTAGCACGCAGAAGCCAGCGCTGGCCTCAGATGATGCAGTAGGCGCCTCGCCATTCATCTGACACGCCCTCCTCTTCTGAGGCCTTGGCAGTTTAGACGTGTCCTTCCTTCAGCTTTCCTCCTCTCACAGAAGTACTTGGAAGTTCAGCTCCTCACTTTGCCAGGTCAAAATGGTCTCTGAGTCTGGGAGACCAAGTTCAGGCAATTTGTGGCCACTCTCTTTCATCTTCTGCCAGGACCCTGGCAGACAGCACCTGTTCACTTCACTTGAAATGCAGCCGAACCCTCCAGCTCCTTTCACCCTGGTCACCCAACAGCTGCCACTCAAACAATGCCTGTCAGCTACCCCAGGCCTGATTTGGATTTGACCTACTGACCTTGAGGTGAAAGGCTCTACAGTCCATTATGAATCCCTGGGGCCAGCTCATTCTCCCAGGAAAGCCTAAATATATCTTTTCCATTTGCAGGGAAATCAGCTATTATAATTTGCAAAGGTCTCATGAGTTTAAAACATATTGGTGGCAGTTCAGTCCCATAAAGATTTAATGAATAGCCATTGGGTGAAAAACGGCTTTTTTTTTTTTTTTTTTTTTTTTTTTTGACAAGTTAAGGAAAAGAAAAATAATTAGACAAGGATAACTATCCCTCAGAAACTCACAAATTCCCTTCACTATCTTCTTACCATCCCACCTTTTCCCCAGGAATTTAATCTTACATTTTCCCAAGCATCTGTAAGAATAGACAAGCCCAACTAAAGTTACCTATGATTTAACAGCTGTGCCGAATATCTCAGGAACACCTACTGTGTGCATGAGACTATTGGTAGGGATCTCTGGGACAAACTCCTTTGAAGCTCTCCTAGCAAATGGTATCTGGTTCTAACACAGTCTTCTTTTGGTCACCAGACTGTTGAAGCCTATAAGACTTCAGTCATAAGCAGGATGAGGTAAGCATGCTACAGTGCATCTGTTCGCAATTAGAAACATATGCAATGGTTAATTCACATTCTAAGGGTTGGCAGTTCCTAGTGCATGGTAGACTCCCCGAGTGCCCAGCAACAGCCTCTAGCAGTGGCTTCCAGTTACCTGAGGGGGTCCTGAGACTCCCCTTTCCCAGGGCAGCTTGAGGAAAGAGAATGAATATTCTCACAGGGGCTCTTACATAAACCCACAGGAACCTGAGGAAGCCTGTCTGCCTCCCTCATCATACACTTTCCTGCCTGGCTACATGCCCTTACCCTCCTCTGAGCTAGGGTGTCACAGGGTAACACTAAGGCTTATTTCTATTGTATTGTTTCTGGTGAGTCTATGTTCTCTGTGAAAGAGCCTCTCAAAGAAAAAAATAACCTATTCTCACTTTCCTTTTGAAACTGGAAAACTTGTCTTTAAACCAAAATAAAGACGCTATGCAAGTCACTGTAAGGCAAACAAAAAGCGTGTCAATTGTGGTACCCCTGCCTTCCATGATCTTATACTGTGGAAATCTTTCAGAGACCTAGTTTCTCTCTCTGATGCCCAGGTTCAAGAGCTGATAAGTGGCATAAGAGTCCAGAAGAGGAAGCCATCACTTTAGGAGATAAGCAAAGCTTCACAAATGAGATGGGCCATAAAGATTGTGTGCATTCAGGTAGGTAGAGAGGAACTGAGGAAAGGTGTTCTAGGACTGGAGCTGCCTAAGCAAAAACCCAAAGACGGGACGCTACACAGTCTGAGAGGCCAAGGTGACTTTTCTTCCTCCATTCATGAGAATAATGATGGGATGGGTGGCTGCTCTCCCTGAGAATCAGGATCCCATCTCCTTGTCGGTCCTGAAATCATATTCCATAGATTCTGGAAGATGCTCTTACAAGAATGTTGTGACATAAAATATGCTCAGGCTTAAGTCTGAGAATCAACTCACAATGAGGGCAATTGAAAAACAGTTGAGGGCTCCAGGATAAAGCCATCAGTACAGCACATGTTGCCCTGGACTGTGATTTGGTGAGCTTGGTGATGCCATTTCCTAGCTCTGGATGGCACAAGCCATGATTCTCTGACCTGCTCTTTTTAAACTATAAAGAACAATGACAAAAATTTAAAAAAAAAGGAATGAAATGAAGTTTAAAAGACTAGTGATCCAAACACTTCTGAGGTAAAGACCCTGTAGGAAAATGTTTCAGAATAAGCAAAGAAACTTCCCAAAGATCCTAATGGATTAACCATAGTTATATAGCCAGACTGCATCAGCCCTGCTTCTTTTTAACACGCTTCTCTCTCAGACTTTGGGGACAAATCACAGTGGTCCTCTGTCGTCACATACACACAGATGCACATGCACACACAGTAACTCACAGACTTATACCAACTTGATCCTCTGTCTTTTCTGTCAGGGAGAAGGAAGTGGAGGGGCTCCCACTCTGTATTCTGGCAATGAAACGACAAAGAGTGCCAATCTATAAGGTTAATCTCTAAGGATCTTTGGGAAGACTCCAAGTTAGATGGCTAATCTCCCTTCAAAAAAAAAAAAAAAAAAGAAGGAGGAGAAGAAGGAGGAGGAGGAGGAGGAGGAGGAGAAGGAGGAGAAATTGCAAAAATGCAACTTAAGATTCCTGACACTCAAAGAAAAAAAATTATGTTTGCATTGATAAGACTGCCAAATTCTTAAATAGAACTTTTTAAAAATGAATAATCATAAAATACACTCAGTCTATTTTTGTAATACAATAATTGACAAGTGATACTGGAACATTGATTGGAAAATTACCATTTTGACAATTCAGTGGTTAACAATTTGATTTTTTAAAATATTGCTTAGTTTGACCAGATTTTGGGCATTTCCTTCTGGTCTGTCTACAATGGCAAGCATTTTTCATTGAAACATATGTTTGGGTGGACAAGTATATTTTATTTGGCAGCAACCTAATAGTTTAAGTGTAGATTTTAAAATAAACTGTTTGCTCTGTAAGCTAATGTTTTCAAACAGAAACATTTTTCACAATTGTTTCCTCAAAACGAATGTTTGTCTTGGAGGCAACAGAAGTCAGACTTCCAGTAAGCTTCTTGCTTAGGACTGTCACTACTATTCTGCCACCTCCAAGATCTTCTGTTGGTCTCATTCTCTTACATATTCCTGTAAGTTGCTTTACAGGGCTAGTCCCCCAGAAATGATTTTTATGATGAGTGCAAGCATTATTAAAAATATTTTTT